AAGGAAGAGGAACAGAAATAAGGTCACTGACAATATCTACTGTAAGTTTATTTTCAATGGAGTATTTACCCAGGTGATGCAAGAAAAGGGGATCAGTGCTGATTTTAGCCTGAGAAGGTTTAAATATACATTTCTGAACAATAAGTTCACCAATTTATTGGCAAGGCAGAATTGAAAAAGCTTTCTCCTCTTGTTGAAACTAGGTGACTATGCACAAAAGAATGGAAGATTCATGAAACCAAGAAGAAACCCTGGAAAAAAAGGGGCATGTATCCTTGTGGGTAAAGCACTCCTGTGAGAAGGGCAATGCCACAGTCTGGTGTTTGCTCCTATATATACATTTTATACCAAAAGCTATTGTGTAATGAGAATGATCTGAGGAACTTAGACCAGAAGCTATGGATATCTCTGTAGCTGACTTTCTAACCACAAGGCAGGAAAGTCATACTTACTCTTGCACTTACCCTTCTGTTCCAGTACACTTACTTTTCTCATTTGGAACAACTCCAACAGGAAAATCACCATGAGAATAACTTGGATCTTTTCTCATTTTAGTCCATAAGGCTGCCCAAATGAGGCACTGGAGATAGCCAGAATGGCTCGGTGTCTGTGCAGTCACAGCAGCAGCACTGAGTGGGAGAGATAAGGTGGAATTTGGTGGGATTTGTTACAGTTCTAGTATGGTATATGCACACCACTGTTAGCTAGAAGGACTAGCGTCCTTTTGGCGTGGGATTCAGTGTGAGATGCAGAATCTTGGGGATTCTGATTGTCCCACCACATCTCTTTTGGTGGATATTTTCGGAAGAGGAAGGGGGTAACAACCTAAAATATTCACTGGTTATTAGGTGAACTGATTACATAATATTTAGTACAACAACTTATAATATTCTATGCAAAGAGTTGCCTCCTTAGCAGACGTGTTACTTCCATACTATTGTCCAAGATTCAGTGACAATAAGGAGTAAAGGAACCATAATTACTTTAGGCAATCGACGTAAGGCGAAGACACGAAGCAGTTACAATATAAGTCTTCACTTTGGAAGGCAATTTCACAACTATGTGACCACCTGGTAAGGACAATTTTCTCTGTAAGCTTCTCTTTTATTTGAGTTGCTTAAGCCTTTCTAAGGCTTCTAGAATTTTTAGTTCTTTCACAAGAGCAAAATATTGAAGGGAAGTAACAGAGATAAAAAAGCAATATGAAAATAATGTAGAAATATTCTACTTGATTATTTTCAGTGTTTGTGCCAAAAACCACAGCCAAATGAAAGGCTGCAGAAAGCATCCATGCTGTTATAAGCATGATATTTGTGTCATGTGTTCAGTGGTCTTAATTCTTATTGAGAACTTTCAATGAACATTCATTCAAGTTGCAACTTAATTTTTCCACCTTCTATCCCTGAAACTAAGGAAATGTTTTCCCATTTTTGTCTGCCATCTAGTGTTAAGAGACAGAATCCATATGTTTACAAAGCTGAGTATATTTGGTGGCACTACAGAGCTTCTGTCTATCTCATACTATGCTGACAAAAATAGAAAACAGCATTTTCCCTAAGGCTTGATTGAAGAAGTTAGATTTAAGCGATTATCTCAGACAGCATTACTAGCAGAATACTGCCCCACTATGTTAATTTGTCATAGTGCTTTGAAATACTTGGGGTTTTTTTTAATTTGTTCGAGTCTCTTAGGTGACACTGCTGTGTTTCCAGGATACGATCCCTAATCAATATGGCAAGTAAAAAACCCCACTTACATATATTCAAATGCTATTCATATTATAGCTTTGTATCAAACCTACAACAAAAGTATGTGGCTAACTCCATTTATAGTCATTTTCACATGATATGGATGATCCCATTTATGACATTTTGAGATATCTTTTATTTTAATAACTATTTTCTCAACATTAACATCTCAACCCGGAAGATGTTCTATTTGGGTTTAATTCACCTAAGATGAAGTCACTGAACTCTGCAACTGGAATAGCAACAAAGAGTAAAACTTAATTTTGTAAGGAGTTCCAGAATTAATTAATTTCAGTGTATTTGTGCCACCTTTTATAGTGAAGGAGAGTGTAATATTTTATATTTCATAGATCAAGACAGAGAACCCTAGAAAGGCAAATTTTGGAAACATTATTTCTGGTAAATATCCAGTTTTTATCAAACTGCCCCATAACCCATTATGACTTTCTCTCCAAGCAGCAGTTCAAGACAAACATACAAATGTGAATGTTAAAAATAATTAATAGCGATTAAAAATATAGCTTGCATATAAATGAACACAACTCACTTGCAGTATTGACACCACAATATTTCAGCTATAACACGACAAAAGTCACGTACACCAAAGAAGTCTCTTTTATAAAAGCAGGAAGATTTATCACAATTGATGTGTAACTTGATTTACAAAAGTTTGCATCTTACCTTCAAAAACATGTACTAACATGTACAATGAAAAAATATTTTGAAAGCCTTTGATTTTTTAAATTAAGTTACAGAGATAGAACTCACTAAAATCGAACTACTTTCAATGTTGTCCTAAACTGAAAGCAATCATGTTTCAAGAGACCACTCTGAAAGAACCTGAGTGCTGGGTATGCAATCTAATAGAGATCAGCAAAAACCCATCAATAATAACAACAGACTTCTTTCTCGAGACTTCCCATGGAAAGTACTGAAATGGAAGTATTTTTAAAACAGCTAATGTGCATCCTATTAAAATTTAAATGTATCTTAAAATGTCATAAATGGAATCATCCATATTACATGAAAATGGCTAAAACTGGAGTTAGCCACTCTGAATACCGTAGGTGGATTCACCTCTCTTATCTAAAAAGCAGGTGTTTAATCAAACAGGATGAACTCACCTTTGACTGCCAAGAGAGCTTATAAAATTAGCTTAGTTGAAGTGTCTATCTTTTAAATAAATTTGAGATAATTTTTTCTTAATATCATGACTGCAGTACAGAGAAGGCTAAATTGGCAAAATGTTTGGGAAGGTGTGGACGCAGAATTTTTGCCTGGCAATACACAATTTTATCTTTTCTTGTCCAGTGTTTTTCAGTTCTTTCAGAGTTGCATGAGAAGCTGATGAATCATGCACTTCTGAACATGTCAGCTCAGACGGGTCTGCTTGTCCTTGAGGAGAGTCATGTGGCAAGAACACATAGGTCTGTGATTGGAACTGAAATGTGAAATCCTTGAAATTTTTCCTTAGCAAAGGTATGAATCAACATACCACTGTACATATCCCACTGGTGAGACGACTGTCTGAGCAGGTACAAGAGAGAATTTTACAATGAGATTATGGGAGAAAGTGTGAATGTTTAGGAAGTGGGCATGTGCAGCTAGAAGGGATCAGTTGCCTCCTACCTCCAATATCTTATTTGCCAGTCAAAAAGAAGCAGGATGTGTCCTGGCAGCATGAAGCTTATTGTGTCCAAACTTCCTTCTTACTGAAGTTGTAGGTCTCATTTTGCCTAACCCTTTGTGGTCATAAGAATGCAAGTTAACCTGTTTTAAGCCAGCTCAGACTCTAGTTTCAGTTGGGCCACTGTCTCTTAAGTCATCTGATGAAATACAATTTTGGTCCACCACACTGGCTAATACACAAGAGTCCTGGGGCTTACAGAAGGGCAAACACACCCAGGGAAGCTGCTTAAGCAAACACTGCTACCACAGTCTAAAATGTATTCAATACTGTGTTGCTCTCATAAGAGTAACTGGCCTTTACCTGAAGTAAGTCATACAGCAAGGGGCAGTGAAACCTCCCTGCTTAGCTGCATCTGGCAGACACCACTACTGTTTGAGCCATTTGGTTTAAAAATGAGCTTAACCACATATAATGAAATGTCATGTTAAATTAAAGAATAGCACACAAGCCCTAAAAACAACTCCCAGGAGTAAACTACCACTAGATAATACAACCAGATGTGTAGTAATCTACAAACAAGGCAGGCAGACCATACCTGCAGAACAGGCCAGAAAGCAAGCAGCTCTGAAAGCATTTTGGAGGGAACAGATGAGCACCTGGGTGTGAACTGTCACCGTCCTATGCAAAAGAATCCCAGATAATATGTGGCTCATGAGCTATTTGTGGCCACTGAATACTTCACTGAGGAAGTGACATGCCTTGAGTGTAAAAATTTCATTGCATTGGGTTAATGTGATGAGGTTTTGGTAGGGGAGGGGAAGGAACTACTGGGGTGGCTTCTGTAAAAAAAACACCAGAAGCTGCCCCTGTGTTGGAAGGTGTCAATTCCAACAGGCTCCAAGATGAACCCATCACCGGCCAAAGCTGAACCCATCAGCAATAGGGGTAGTGCCCCTCTGATGAAATAGTTAAGAAATGGAAAATATTTCTGCACAGCAGCAGCTGGGAGAGAGGAGTGAGATTATGTGAGAGGAACAATTCTGAAGACATCTGGGGCAGTGAAGAAGGAGGGGGAGGAGGTGCTCCAGGCACCAGAGCAGAGATTCCCCTAAAGCCCCTGGAGGACCTCACGCCAGAGCAGGTGGGTGCTTGAAGGAGGTTGTGACTCTGTAGGAAGCCCATGCTGGAGCAGGCTCCTGGCAGGACCTGTGGACACATGGAGAGAGAAGCCCACACTGGAGCAGGTTTTCTGGCAGGACTTGTGACCCCATGGGGCATCCACACTGGAGCAGTCTGTTCCTGAAGGCAGGAACACCGTGCACCCTATGGAAGGGACCCATGCTGGAGTAGTTTGTGAAGATCTGCAGCCCACGGGAAGGATTCACATTGCAGAAGCTCATGGAAGTCTGTCTCCTGTGGGAGGAACCCCACGCTGGAGCAGGAGAAGAGTGTTAGGAGTCCTCCCCCTGAGGAGCAAAGAGCAGCAGAGACAATGTGTGACAAACTGACTGCAGCCCCCATACCCCACCTCCCTGTACCACTGGGAGTAAAGGTGGGCCTGGGAAGAAAGAGGGTTGGAGAGTGGGTGTTTTAAGACTTAGTTTTATTTCTCATTACCCTACTCTGATTTAGTTGGTATTATATTAAACTAATTTCCTCAAGTCAAGCCTGTTTTGCCCATGATGGTAACTGGTGAGTGATCTCTCCTTGTCCTTATCCCAACTCATGAGCCTTTTGTTCTATTTTCTCTCCCCTGTCCAGCTGAGGAAGGAAGTGACAGTGCAGGTTCAGTGGGCATCTGGCATCCAGCCAGGGATGTCCTGCAGTGGGAGATGTGTAGAGTTTAACCTGTTCAATTTATAAAAAAATACGTTATATTAATTACAGCATGTAATAAATACAAATTTTCCTGTGGGGAAATAAATAAATAAAATGCAAGCTAAGAAAACTAATTTTACTTTTTTATTTGTGAGAAAGAACAGAAGCATATAACTGGTATCTGAAAGTACAAATGGGACGTGACCCTCCTAACACTCGGGGCAAGGATCCTATCACTCCACCCACACACACAGCACATCCATGCTCCCTTGCCATCATCACTCGAAGTTTTTGCAACTTCACTAAAATTGTGTTTCAGACAGGCCGAGCAGACAGGAATCTCATGGTTTTGCTGCTGCTCTGAAGCCTAGCTGTAAAAGAGCAAGGTGCTCACTAAGCCTATGAAACCATGAAAACCACTCTGTCATCATTGCCCAAGAGTTAAGTAGGAAACACCACGAAATATTCCCACAGCACCTGCACCAAGTGGCCACAGAGGTTGGGTAGGGGCTCTTCTCCTTCTCCCAGCCCCTCACTCCCAGCGCCTCTGGCAGGGGACAGCACCAAGATCCCAACACCACCAGCAGCATGGGACACAATGAGCTCCACCGTGCCCAACCAGAAAGCCAGACAAATCCTGGGCTGCATCAAAAGCAGTGGGGCCAGCAGGTCGAGGAAGGGGATTCTGCCCCTTTACCCTGCTCTTGTGAGACCCTACCTGGAGTGCTGCACTGAGCTCTGGGGTCCCCAATACAAGAAGGACATAGAACTGCTGGAGCAAGTCTAGAGGAGGGACACAAAATTCATAAGAGGACTGGAACACCTCCCCTGTGAAGACAGGCTGAGAAAGTTGGGGCTGTTCATCCGGCAGAATAGGTTGTGTAGAGACATCATAGCAGCTTCCAGTACCTGAAGGGGGCCTACAGGGAAGCTGAAGAGGGACACTTCGTCAGGAACTGCAATTAGGACAAGCAATAGTGGGTACAAATTGAAAGAGGGTTAGATATTAGGAATAAATTCTTTACTGTGAGGGTGGTGAGGCACTGGAACAGGTTGCCCAGGGAGATTGTGGATTCCTCAACCCTAGCAGTGTTCAAAGCAGGTTGGATGGGTCTTTGAACAAGCTGTTCTAGTGAGAGGGAGGCTGGGACCGGACGATCCTTTTGGTCCGTTCCAAAGCCCTCCCATTCCGTGATTTCGTCACGGTCACCGGGCGGCGCCCCCCCGCGTGCTGTCCCGCACGTCGCCGCCCGCCACGCCCGTCCCCGCCGGTGCGCACGCGCAGCAGCCCCACCCCGCCGCGGCCGTGATCTCGCGTCACCGCCCCGCCCCCCGCGGCGGCCCGTGAGGCGGCGGCGCGCGCCCCAGCTGTTTCCGGCACCCGAGGCAGCGCAGGCGCAGTGGTGCGGTCTCGCGCGGCGAGTGTTGTCGTTCCCGGTTCGGCCGCTCGCGCCCGCTCCCCCCGGGCGGTACCGCTCGTGAGGGCGCGGCCCCGGACCGCGCTCGGGCCCTGACCGGGCTCGGCGGCGGCGGCCGGGGCAGAAGGGGGAGGCGGAAGCCGCTGCCCAGCAGGCACCGCCGCCGGGAAGGGCCGTGTCGCGTCGCCACCGGGTCATGCGGGGAACGGAGGTGGGGGGAACACGGTGAGCGCGTGCCGGACATACGGAGCTCGCGCGCGTGACGCGGGGTGGGCCGGGGACAGCGGGGACGGGACGGGACGGGACGGGACGCGGTGCTTGTTTACGCGGCCGCTCTCGGCAGCGATTCTGCGAAATGGCGCAAGGCAAGAACAGCGCCCGCTCCCCCCCGGGACAGGAGGCGCCCCTGTGCCTTTATAACCCGGCCCGCCGGCGGGGCCCGCAGCCCGGAGCGTGGCGCGGACCCAGCGGGGCAGGCACAGCTCAGGCAGAGGAGACCGTAAGTAACGACGTCGCAGTCTGCGGCGGTGTCACCTCTGCTGTCACTCTGGCATCGGCCTGCGCAGAAGTTGGCCTGCATGCCTACCTGGCGGCCCTCCTCGGCACTTGTCACGGGGGCTAGAGAAGCCTAGACTTGCCATTTGGGCAGGTAATGGATTTGTGCCTGCAGTGTAGCTCAGCTCTGGTGTACTGTGTAAAACGCTGCTCCGCCCGTCGCATCTTTCTTTGCAGAGCAAGGGTTGTATACTGCCCTTGGCTCTTGGGATAGACATGTCTCATTGAACTTTACTCAAAGAATTGGCATCCCTCCTCTCCTCACGAAAGACAAATTTCTCTCTATAGGAAAAAACAGCAATCAGTTTTCTGTATGTCACTAAATGCTTTTGAGAAGTGTAACATTGCTTAAGATAGGCTTAAACTGGCCTTTAGGGAGTAGCATGTTGAAATGTTGGGGTGGCGCTACCAAATGTCCTGAGCAGTAAATATTCCCATGAGCTTATTTGATTTGAATGTTTATCTGTCTTTACAGAAAGCATAAATAAGCTGCATCTGCCTTAAACCACTCTGTGATTTTTAGTTTACTTGTTACTGTATATGGGTCTCCATTGTTGATTTTTTGTTGTTTTTTTTTTTTCTTTTTCAGATAACACTACACTACGAGACTTATTTATTGAAATATATTTTCTGGAATGAAGTAGAAAGCAACACAGAAAAGGCATAATTATTTATAAGTAATGACAGTTCAGTTATCTTTGGACACATATTTGGTCTTTTTTATTAACCCAAAAAATCTTTGGTGGAAACAAAGAAACAAATATCTGTGTTTGCATAGACCTAAAGTCTGCTGGAGGATAAATCATGCCACACACCTGAGAGTTTTGCATACAAGCGAGCCTCGGTGTAAATGGGCCAGAAGCAGAACATTTTGGTATAGCAAATATATTTACAGTCATGAGTTTTTATACTGTAGAATTTCTAAACTTCTAACTTCTTCTTCCAAAGGACTTACAAAGGTGAGCATTCGCATGTCACGAATTAAGAATACTATAGAATCTGTTTCAAAGGCCGTGTCTGGCACTCACAGTGAACTGGTGTCACGAATAGCTCGATTAAAGTCACACTCAGGTACTTTGGGAAAAGCAAATAAAAGTAGTGCAGGTGTAAATAACATCAATGCAAATCTAGGCAATGATAAAAAAGTCACAGATGCCAGAACTCAGGAGGATTGCAACAGAGGCCCATCTGCAAAGAAATCCACTTGTGCAAGTGAAAACTTGGAATCTGTGTTAGTAAGTTCAAGTGGTACTTGTCAAGATACTCCAGAAGTTTCAGCATCTACTAAAAACCACCTTTTTCATATAAGCTACTTTTCTACAAATTTTGGAGAGACTTACAACTTCATAGCTGATCATATCAACTCTTACTTTAGTAATTCTGTTATGGAACAAGAGAAAAAAAGGAATGCTTCATTACAGGACTCTAAAAGTGAAGAGAGGAATAAGCTTGATTCATCAGAAAATACTGTAACGAGTGAAAAAAAGACAGTGGATTCAGCAGCTACTTTAGCTCCTGAAACAGAGACTCTGGGTGCTGAAAAGACAAATACTGCCCTTCCAGTTTCCACTAAAAAAAGTATTACAAACTTTCTTTCGTATCCCAGTAACAGCGTACAAGCTTTTGTAGACAGCTATATTGGGGGGCTGGTTCCCAAGTTAAGATCCGAATCAAAAGTTGTTTCACCAGAAAAGACTAAACAGCCAGAACAAGAAGTGTCTGAGAAGACTGATGAGGACAAATCAAAAGAGGCCAAGACTGCAGAAGAGAGGGAAAAGCATCTGTCTCTTCAGAGAGAAAAGGCAAGTCTTTGTTTAGCGTTAATTATTTATGTATTATTTCTATGTATATTTTATACAAGTGTATATGTACACTGCACTAGTGTAGTGTGTGGAACCATACATATACATACATGCTTATGTAAATAAGTATATACCTCTGTCTGTACTTACATATGTACACATACTTTTATTCATATGCATGCCTACATGTAAGTACACAATGTAGTGTCCCTGTCCATGGCAGGGAGGTTGGAACTAGAGGGTGTTTAAGGTCCCTTCCAACCCAAACTGTTCTATGATTTATTCTATGTACTTTGATAAATAAGTATATATGTAAAACTGTATAAATTTCCATATATATACACGTACTATATATAAACTTACAAATACATATATGTATTTAAAAATAGGTATATATACATCTGTATACATGTTTAAAAATATGTATATACTTTTTATAGAAGTACACATATGTATATGTAAGTTTATATATAAATCATGTATATATATATAAATATATACGTGTGTGTGTGTGTGTGTGTGTGTGGTATATACATATACTTAGTTCATGTATATGTAGAGAGATTGCATAAATACAGACAGATCTAATTGTGGGGGGTTTTGTAGTTATAGTAATTTCACAGTTCATGGTTTGTTTATGGTTCAATTACCATGATTTCAGAGTTGCCCTGAAAATACACCTGAGTACATGCTGACACATGTTTGTTTGGTGTATTCTTGCTGTGAGCTGACTTTATTTAGTTTTCTAGTTAAGAATCAAAAGGTCGTCTGTTTCCAGTTTAGGTAATGCTTACTTGGAACGTGTAGCAGATCTCTAGTACAACATCCTGTTCATTCCTTCTGAGAAATCTTAAAATAACACATTGGAATTGGTGTTGACAAATTTGACACGTTTCTTAGAGTAGTTTTATATTATCTGTTTATCTTTTTTAGATTATTGCAAGAGTGAGTATTGATAACAGGACTCGAGCTTTAGTTCAAGCCCTACGAAGATCCACTAATCGGAGAGTCTGTATCAGCAGGGTTGAAGAACTGACCTATCATCTTCTAGAATTTCCAGAGAGCAGAGGAGTTGCAATTAAGGTGCAAATAGTCCTTATGCTTGGATAAAAATTAAATATCTGACAGATGATTGATATAGAATAACATAAAACCTCGTTATTTGCTTCTGTGGACTAGTCTTATTTGTAAAGATTACAACTTGAGTGTCTCTTTTTGTAACTCTTTAGCTGGTTCAAGCAGATTCGTGTGCAAACTATCAGCAGTTTAGCTAAAGGCTCCTAAGATTGCAATGTTTAATTTAGAAGCATACGACATGGTCATGTGGGGAGGTGGTATAGCTTTTTTTTTTTCAAGTGGTAGGGGAAGGTCGTACGCTGTGTCCTCTGTGGCAGTTGACCAGAGGGGAATGTACTGTACAGTTGATCTGCATATGCACAGTACTTTCTATGGTTGTTTACATGCTTCCTTCGAAGAGAGAAGGCAAGGGTGAAGTATAGCCATCAAATAAGTGCATGTAATCTAGTCCTACTCATTTTCTTCCCTGCAGTGAGAGGACAGGAGGTGGGTGGTAGACTATTCTGGAAGTACTAGCTCAATCACAACATTTGTCAGCCTTGTGCCTTTTTCCACAAGATGTGATAAATGTGTGACATAAATTGTAGAATTTCTGGAAAAGCAGCCTTTGGCCAGATGAATCATTTGGGCGGGGTACAGTTTAGGAGTCCACATAAATATATGTGAATTACTTTATTATGAAAGAGTATATCCACTCTTCCCATTTGGATTGTAATGCTCTATATATTTGTGGTAATGTACATTTAAAAAGTACTCCATGTGAGGAAGAATTTTAATATTTGTTATTAGTGTACTTAGAAGGCATTTCTTGTTTTGAAGCAATGTGATACTTTTTAAGCAAAATCTGGGCTTTTACCTATACTTGATGTGCTACATACTCAAATCTATATTTGGCTAATGTGACATTAAGCCAATTAAACTTAATTCCTGGTGAATGTAGCTTTTCTAGCTATTCGAAAGATTTGTGTTTCACCTTGACTGCTGAATTTTGATAGGTAGTTACTTTTAGCAATGAGGTGTGTACAACATAATATTGGCATCCTTTATTTCCATTTTTAGAGAGAGAAAGATGAGTAAATATGGTTTTGAAGAAGTTTTCCTTCAAGTTTAACTAATATTACTTCTATACTTAAATGCCAAGCTAGTAAATTTAAGCATGGATTCTTTTGCTATAAACATATGGTTGGAATGAAATACCCTTGTATTCATCAATAGGAAAAAGTTATCCCATGCCTGCTGCGACTGAGACAGGCTAATGATGAAAGTCTTCAGGCTGCTGTTAGAGAAACTTTAGCTCTGATTGGATATACCGACCCTGTGAAAGGCTGGGGAATTAGAGTCCTCACCATTGATGGAGGAGGAACAAGGTAAAACTTCTGTAGCCTTTTTTATACTGTAACTAGAAATAAAATTTCAGTTTCTCTTTGATAAACGTATGCCCAAAGAGGCAATTCATGATTTACATTTGTGTTAAACGGGTACTGTTTTTGTATGCATTGGTGCTTGACTGGTGCTCTGTTTGGTGCTTGTTTTGCCATACACAATTATCTTGCTCTATCCCAACTGTTGCATGCCAGAAACACAAGTCTGTGGTCTGTAATGCATCTCTCCCATTATTTCAGACACATTGAGTTGGGGGCCATACAAACCCCACACAGAAAAATACTGTACCCCAAGGGGCATTATACAGCCCTGTTAAGACCAAACTTAAAGTGCTGTGTGGTGTGGATGCAGCTAAAATCTCTTGAGTCTACATCCACAGAA